GAGACACAGCGAGAGAGGGAACACGAGCAGGGGGAGTGGGAGAGGGAGAAGCAGGCTTCCCGCCAAGCAGGGAGCCCGATGTGGGGCTCGATCCCAGGACCCCGGGATCATGACCTAAGCTGAAGGCAGACGCTTAATGACTGAGCCACCCAGGCGCCCAGAACTTTCTTTTTTTTAAATTGCATGGTGAAATCTAGAAAAAGTACTTTTGAAGAATGTTCTTAATAACGAACTGTGTTAAAAACAATGCATGGGTAGATGCTTATCATTTGGTCTTTAGGATATGAAATGATACGCTGTGTGCTGTTCCTTGTTTTGTTTTTCAGGGAGGGATTTTTTCCACATTAAAAATGCAGTCTTATTAAAAATAGTTACCTCTAAGTGACAGTCAGCCATGTACAGAAATAGTTGGCCTGGTTGGGAACAGGATGGGAGAGGGTTCCCTTTGGGGCACCAAGTGTTTTTGAGTATGGTATTTTCTTTCCCAAACAAAAGACTGGCTAGGGAAAGGATCTTCAGGGGAAGACTTAGGAAAATGTAGCCATACCCTATTATCTGAAATGTAGTCTCACACCATGTATTCATCTAATATCTTTTATTGAGTACCAGTTATTTTCAAGCATAACAGTATCCCTGATCTTAGGAGTCTGTGACCATCACGGTGGACACCAAATACTTTTCCCAGGGCTAGAGAAACAGGTGACTGACACTTGTAGGGGTCTAATTTTTACCTGAACTCTCAAATTTCTTTTTCTCTACCCATCATAGAAACACTTTTACTTAAAACCTCTTTCACCTTTCTTAAGTAGCTGCAGTGCTGTACTTTTATGATAAAAATGATAGAAAATAATCCAAATTTCAACTAGCTAGTAATTTATTTATTTATTGTTTTGTTTTGTTTTTCTTTTCTTTTTTTATTATTATGTTCAGTTAGCCAACATATAGTACATCATTAGTTTTTGATGTAGTGTTCAATGATTCATTCTTTGCGTATAACACCCAGTGCTCATCACAACATGTGCCCTCCTTAATGCTGTAGTTAGTAATTTAAATACCAACTTATGGGATAGCTTGGGAACTTAACCATCATTTATAATACTGATTGTGTGAAGGAATAGGTTCTGAGTACTGAACAACCAAATTTAAAAATTTAAATAAATACAAGCTGCTTTTAAATAAGAGGTTCCATATTACTCTCTTAAAAATTGCATAAAGTGTGACTTTTGTTTGGCTGGCTCATTCCTTGGTGGTTTTGGCTTCTGACTTTGTTATTTAAAGGGTTTGGTCCAGGTATGAAGCATAAAAGCCACACAATTCCATCTAGATAATTTTTATTGAGATTGGCAGTTAATACTAGTTTCCCATTTTTGTGAAGTGTAATTTAGCATAGGGATACCTCTCATTTTGATGAAACTTGCCCCCTCAATATACTTGATTAGTAAAAGTAATAATATAATAAGTGATAAGAGTGAACATTTATTGAGCACCTATTCATGTTATTAACTCCTTTAAGACTCACAACAACCCTTGACATGGCTTGTCATTTGCTTTTTACAAATGAAGGAAATGAGGTTTAGTGACATCAGGCTACTGGCTCATGGTCACATTTGACTCTGAAACTTGGGCTTTTAATCACTAGAGTCAACTAAAACTACATAATCAGAGGAAGAAATTACACGAAGTCATAGAGTTACATTCCAAAACGTCCTCGTTCATGCATTCATTCTTTTATTCAACGGATACATCTGTGATTGCTTACTCTATGCATACCACCATGCTAAGTGTTGCAAGTGTTCTGTTAAGTCAACCATTTTCTATGTGATTCATACTCCTGTGGTGCTTAAAACCAATGGGAGAAACAAATATCAA